GCAGGTTCCTTGCCATCTCTCACATACCTAAAGTGGGGCAAACTGCAAGCCATAAGAAGTTTCCCATAGCCATCAGCCAGATTCGGGCATGCCTTGGAAGTGCCAATGTTAATGGCAATACAGGAGAGGAGCACAGAATGAGGAGGGTACACAGTACAGGCACCTGGAAGCAGACGCACCTCTACCATATGAGGAGCTGTGTGAAACTTGGCTGCATTGGTCTGCACAAAACTCACTTTTGTTAACGTACAGTTACATAGTTGGGTTTTAAAATAATATATATATTTTGTACATTTACAAAAAACATCAAGACTTTTTTGAAGCAGTCTCCAGAGTTGGCTAGAACTAGCCTCTGTGGACATCTATTCCACATTTTCACAGCTCTTACTATAAAGAAGCCTTGCCATATGTGGAGGTTAAAATTCATCTTCTCCAGATGCAAAGAGCGCCCCTTTGTTAAGCAGTGACCTTAAAGCCCCATTCAAGGTTAAATACGACTGCCTCCCACCTCTCTCTAACCCATTATGCAAGCTTTGGGCTAGGGTACCCCCTCCATTCAGGTCCCTCACCTTTCTCATTTCCATATGCGAGGAACTGCTAAACCAGTGCTGCAGCTGCTGCCGTATGTACTGATGTCACTACTCTTCGCGATCCTAAGAGGACCCTGCAGCTGGACAGCCAATAGGAAGTGTCCACATCACACAGGAAATGACACGGACACCAAAAGAAGGACCCCACCAGATGTAAACGAAGAGAGAAGACTCTCAGCTCTCAGAAGGATCACTTGACCGCAAATTTAGGTAAGTAAAATGGACATTTAGTGTTTTTTTGTGCTCCGGCAATCAGAGGGGGGTTGGAAAAGGGGTTAACAGTATCCCAGGATGGGGTGGAATGGGGGCTTTTACGTATGAACCTTGAAAGTAGAACTGGTCTCACTTGTTGCCTTAGTGTTCTCTTGCACAACATTTATTTTGTATGCTGCTCATCTCAGAGCATTTCTAGTTAAACCATTGCTTATTTTCATTTGAAGAGCTTGCTGTATTTCTACCATTAAATTTTCGTTTCGCCTCCTGTTAGTTTACAGTCCTGTAAGTGAAAGTGTTTTATGGCAGCGCTGTGCAGTCTCAGTCCTTCTGGTTAGCCAGACTGCTTAGCAACAGGACATATGCCGACGGAGCCGAGTTCAGATAAATAACACGTATGGAAATATATATATTTCCAGTGCGATGATTTACTATTACTTTTATATTGTGTATCCTCCACATATGGGAGACGGCGGAAGCTCCTGCCATGCATTGTTCTTATATTTTGGATACAGCTTGGGTCTCCTGCTAATGTTGTGTTCCTCCAGAAGGTCAGGGCCTTGAAATGATGATGATGTTGTAGATTTATATTGTGTTGCATTATTTCGTTTTTATCTGGAAGTCAGAGAAAAGCTGCCTTTTACTGTAACTGCTTTTGTAGTAGCTTGATATGGAAATGTATAGAACACAGTCTGCCGTTTAATCGAGTAAATAGGGGGCTGAGGCTGTGACTCCTTTGATGTGTGTGTATTAGTCTGTCTTTGGAGGACTACACGACTCTAATACCAGCAGATCTCTACAATGCAAGTGGTTAGGAAATCAAAAAATGAAGCAAATGGTCTAGCATGTCGGCAATTGGTACCTGTTCACACCTATACGATTTGAAAGGTTTTGGTAGTCGTACGACAATGCACGACCAAAAGAATCCCATTATTTTCTATGGGGCTCATTCACACCTATGCTGAGCTCTTCTGTGCAATCTAGAGGTGCAGGCAATTGTTTTGGCGCATTTATAGCCCCATGGACTTCAGTAACATACATTTGGGTGTATTTTAGTGATTTGACAACAAGCCCCCACCCCATAGCAATACTTTTTCACCTTGACAAAAATACACAACACATGAAGAAATACACAACAAAAACTAATTGAAAGGACTTAAAAATCCAGATGGATGGGTGTTAATGGGGACTTTTTCAATTTTGTTTGGAATGAATCTTGATCCTGAAGTGTAAACTATCCATGGTTTACAATCCTTCCTCTTTCAGTTTTTCTTTAAATTCCAAATGCAAAATAATAAAATGTGTTCCTTGCACTCACGAAAGTGAGCTCTTTTTCTTTGAAAAAAAAATTGCCTCCTTTTGTGGATTCCTCTTTGGCCTACATTGGGCCGGGAGGAGGGGGTGACGGTCAGGATTTTCTGTGGGCTTGCGCAAACTCAGGTGAACTGGGTCCACACAGGGCCGGATTTACTCGCCTTGCTGCCCCAAGGCCAGGTTCTGCAATGCGCCCCCCCCCCCATCAACGGAGAATGGCAACCAGATGGCAGGGGCGGCAGGGTTAGTTTTATTTTTTTTTATTGTTCATTTATTTTGTTTAAACTTTTTTTAACTTTTTTACATTTTTAGCTGATCATTTACTTTTTAATTTTTTTTTATTTATTTTTAATAATTATTTTCTTATTTTTTACTTTTTAATCACCTTTTTATTTTATTTATTTCTTATTATTTTTAAAATTTTTAGAATTAATTTTTTTCACTTGGCTAGCTCTTGTGTGATAGCAATAAAGTTAACAAGCCCCTGTGTGATAGCCTTTGGAGGTGACAGGTTCTCTTTTTATTGAACCTGTCACCTCCAATACAGGAGTTCTAGCACAGTACTGTGCTGGAACTCCTGTGACAGCTGAGAGAGGAAGAGCTCAGCTCTCCCCTCTCACTGTATACACGGAGCGGCAAGGTTACTTTTAACCCTGCCGCTCTGCTCCCGGCATCGGCAGCCAGTGAAGAGAGACTCGGCGGGCGGGGGGGAGGACGGAACCGGAGGAGAGAGGTAGGTGCGGTGAGGGGGAGGACGGACAAGCTGCACACATTTTACACGTGATCGCGTCGACATCGAGGCGATCACTTGTAAACGAACAAGCGGCTTATCCACACTACATTTAGTCCTGCCTTCCCAAAGCAGGACTAAATGTAGAAGGCAACTTACCACCCGGCGGCCTTGTGGGGAATCCGGGCCTGGGTCCACATCAAGCCCAGCCTCATCAATTCTAGTCCTAGATCTCTCTACAAAGGTCCCGGAGAGCTGTAAAAACCCATTGGAGGAACACTCCCTGCTTTATTCCAAAAGTATTTCAAAAGTTTAGTTTGGGTTTCTGTGGTTTGGCTAAATTCAGCACAGCTGTCATTTACAATTCAACAAGCTCAGTATTTAAAAATGATCAACCAGTGATAAATGTGCTTGTTCCTGTCATAATCTGGAATCCAGGCTTCTTCTGGTGAGCGGTCACTTTGGACGGGATGTTGCTCACATGGTCTTTCCTAAAGGGCAGCATGGATGTTCAGGCTAGCTATATACTTGGATGTCCTATTGGCCAGCACTTTCTTAGAGGCCAAGTGATGCCTTTGTATTGCTTATGTGACCAGTTATCAAAAAGGAGCCTGGATTCCGGTTATGACAGAAATAGATACTTTTTTTCAGCACATTCATAAACATCTTCAAATACCTACATTGCTGATTTTTTAGAGAGAAGCTTGATTGAATTTCGTGCCCAATTGGGTCGTGAAGTTTAGTAACCATTGATGTGCTACTTAATAGTTACTCTTGCCAGATATTCAGTGGAGTCTGGTGGCTGGCTTCATCATCAGACAAGTAAAATGTGGACAAGCTTAGCTTGGCACCTTCTCAGGATGTCCTCCATGTCTACAACATTTCCAATCAGTCCTGCCAAAGGTTTTTCTAATCTGCTCTTACAGGCGGCTTATGTATAAAAGCCATCCAACTAACATATTGTATGTGTTTGTGTTCTGTGTGTACAGTGATCTCTGGAGCATTCTGCTACGACATGGTGTTGGACCCGAAGCTAGACGATTGGAAGCCGACAAAGGTAAGTGAGATACACTCTCAGCTCCAGGATTCAGTCTTCACAGATAAGGAGGAAGCAAGTCTGTGATTGCAGTAAGAGAACTGTGTTGGTTCCTCAAATTACTTTAATCTGGACCATTATTCTGTACTGTTCTGACTGTGCTCCAAGGTGGCTCTTCACAGGGGAAGTATAAAGCCCAACTCGAGTTAAAACCCAACTGAGTTTTCAGTTTAATCAGCTAAGTACATTAAATATGCATCAAAATGAAAGGTTTGCAAACTTAGTTTTCCTTTACGATGCAGCTACAGCTTGAGTAGACAAGCCTGCCCCCTGCCAGCATGCTGCGAAAGAAGACTCTTGCTATCTATGGGAAAGCAATGGTCTTTCTGCAGAGGTCCAGCATGCCCCCTGCTGAGTCATGGCTGTACAATCAGCAGGATGCATGAGCTTTACTGATTGCAAGGCTATACATCTGACGCAGAAGAGGTGTTTTGGACCACTGCAGAGAGACCACTGCTTCTACACAGAGAGCAAGGGTGCTTCTTTGCAGCAAAATGACAAGTCTGGATTTAACTAAAAGGTCAATTGGGCATTTAAAACCAATGGAAGTAAGAGGTAATCTTAATCTAATGGGAACACATCAGTAAAAACCTGTTGAGGTTTTGTATACCTTTTCGAGCCATGGTGCCATGGAGTATATCCATGGAGAATATGGATAGTCTTAGCCAGGGATGGCCAAACTCCGGCCCTCCAGCCGTGGTGAAACAAATCCCATGAAGCATCTCTCTCCGGGAGTCATGTCTTTGGCTGTGAGAATCTTGCAGAGCCTCATGGGATTCATAGTTCCACCACAGCTGGAGGGCCGCAGTTTGGCCATCCCTGGTCTTAGCATTTAATTTCCCAGGTGTACCTGCTGCTATTACAAAGGGAATTCACTCATTTCTATTCATCACTAAAAAGGCAGCAGAAGGAGTTGGTCTCCACACACTTTACACAATGGATTGTGGATGGTTGGATTTGTTTAGGTAGTCCCTCTCACCAGGGCTGTGCCTAAGGTGTTTACTGCCCGAAGTGATGTGCTGTTGTTCCAGGGAGGTGGGGGGTACGCAGTTGTGGGGGTAAGGGTAGTTCAGACACTGAATCACGGATGTCGGCGACACAGGCCAGAGCATCCAACACATCTCCTGGCAACCGGTCATGTCAGTGAGCTGGGCGGGAGGCCGCACAGGACGTCACAGGTTGCTAAGAGCCTTTAGCAACCTGGGACTCTGTGCCCCCCCCCACCAATGAAATGCAGCCTGAGGCAGTGGCCTCATTATGGGGATCGCCTTGCCTCTTAACTATTTATATGTTGACAAGGAGGTTGTACAATTAAATTGTAACATATGGGACAGCTTATTGTGTGCAGAGTTGAGCTGATAACTCTTGTGGGACGATGTAATTCCTCACTCGGTGGAAATAGCTGCTCAGTACTGCAATGTGGGCATATTAAGAGGGGGTAAGGGACACTAGTCTATTTGGATGCTGTGCTACCAAAAGCTTTATTCATTGGCTTTAGGAGATTTAGAAGACACTGGGGGGAATTTATCAAAACTGGAACAGACAGAAACTGGAGCAGTTCCCCATGGCAACCAATCAGCTTCTCTCCAGTTTGCTCAGCTGAGATTTGAAAATGAGACATTGAAGCTGATTGGTTGCAGTGCAAATCTGCTCCAGATTTTGTCTGCTCCAGTTTTGATAATTTCCCCCTACTGAGTTCAGGCATGGACAGATGGGGGTTGGTGACCCAGAAAAAGGGGAGTACTCAGAAAATTAAGTCACACACGGCTAGGCTAAGGCAGCTTAATTGTTAACTCCAGGCAATCATTTAAATGCACATCTGAAATACATACGCTGGACCTGTTTACCTGCCAGTGGATTTGCCTTTTAGCCCATTGGACAGTGAGTGAGCTGTCGCAGACTGAGGAGGCCGTCTCTTTGCTATCTCCTCCCATCAGCGGGTCCCTTGCCAGTACATTTGCATGCAGCATATGTGATTGCTTCCCAGTCCTTCCCCTCCCTATTCTTGCTACACACGAGATCAAATTCAGACATATACAGTATATGGCTCCTATTAAATAATTAGCCGCATTAATTTGTGTCCGTTATATCTGCCTGTATTGCAAGATGCAACACTAACAGAATCAAGAACTGGCTGCACATCAGGAAACATTTACATTTTACACATGTAGGCGGTCACCATGATAACTGATTTTTTTTCCTGTTTTGATTGTTTGATTGGAGTTGCCACTTAACGTTAGAAGAAAACATTTGAACGGTTCTTAGTAGTGAAGTGCTTAGTGGTTTTCAGCAAACCCAGAGATAAATGTTTTGTATTCTCTGTGAAGGATTTCATTCTGTTAATATTCTGTAGCCAGCGGGTGGCTGTATTGCTCTTCCATTTCAGATGCCAACAAAATATTCTCTGGAAATGGATATTTGTAAAGGAAAACTGATACGTTTTTTACAGTAGTTATCATGAAAGAATAGCTGGTATAAAATGTTAGTTTCTTTTTAAATAAACCTTAGCTTTATTTTTCTTTTCTTTGTCTTTAGGCCATAGGTTAAAATATTTTTAAAACATGCAACACATTATGTAGGGGAAAATAATCTGAAGTTGCGAATTATACATTTATAAAGTCACATTTAGGGAGATTGATGTCATCAACAGGAAACCATCTTTCAGAAAACATTGCTTCCCCTGAGCCCAAACGTTTTCTAGTTGTCTGCACTAGTGAAATGCATAGAAATCTCCATACTCTGGTGTCTGCATCACAGAAATGCATAAAAATATTCACCCCCTAGTTCTGGTCCCTGATGAGTGCACTACTAAAATACATTTAACTCTGCATCGCTTGGTTCCTCTGGTCCATTGTCTTCCTGATGTTTGCCCTGCTGAAATGCATGCATAGTACAGCAGAGAGGAAATCTAACGTTGCCAATACTTATAAAGTAAGGTCGCGTGCACATGGGTGCATTCTGGAGCAAATAAAGTCGCATTTGCATAAAGCGCAAAAAAATCCTGTATTTGCTGCACCCGGAAGCCACTGTGTCTTTGTGTGCATATGAATGTATGGGCAGAAAATGCTGTATCTGGGTGTATGCCTGTAAATACTGGCACCGGCTTTAGCACGCGCATGAGGGTAAGTTTCCAAATGCAGAACTGTAACATGTATGGCTCATTCAGACAGACGTGCACGTCTGTACAGCGTGTCTGTCTGCGTCCAAATGCGGGCAACTGAACCCACACGGGTGTGCAGGTTCGGGTGTGCGTGTGACCATGTGTAATTGTGTGCAGCTGCGTCCTCCCCTACATGCAGCACTTGTGCCTTCTGGGATCGGGTCATTAGAAGCTTACCCCTGTGGGCGTGCTAATGCTGGTACCTGTGTTAAATTAAAATAACCAGCGATTTTGAGGGCCCGGGGGGCGATCAGTGGAAATACCTGGAGGTGTTATTACCAGGTTAGCAAAATAATTTAGGGTTGGTGTACACCATAGCCTGCACGTCGGCACATATGCATTGACATACACTGGTGATATATACTGCTGTGTGCTTTTTTTTTTTTAAAGACCTATTGCGTTCTTTTCATCTAAAATGCAGTACTGTTACAATACAGAATAAGGCTTTTTGCCCGATCAAGCCAAATGGATGTGTAGTGAATGAGCCCTTCCTTTAGGTCTGCCTTACCTTCTTTCACTAAAAATCACATCGGCATGCTGATCTGAAATAATTTCACATTCATTAGTTAAACATATTTTTTATTTTACTCACAATTATTGTTTTTTCACTTCCTGGTCCTCTTGGACATTAGTGATGTAATTGTGCCCAAGCAATGCATCCTGGGAAGGTTACATCAGCAGAGCATTGCTGGAAAATCTCATCTGTAATCTCACGAGATCTCAGGGAAAGGCATTTTCCTCCTCTGGGATTATGTGCATGGTCACATGTGCCACAGTTCCAGGAAGTAAAAGGAGATGGATTAATCTGCCCTTAGTAAAAAAGTGGCCACTGTCAGAAGACTGGGGAGGAAACGAAAAATAAGGTATGCAAAGAATAAAAAGCCGGCAACTTTCTAGAAGTATGCGTTTGTAGATTGCCATTACTAAACATTTCTAACTGTCTTTGTTGTCATTTCAAGTATACGGGTAAAGTTCCTCTTGAAGGAGGTACATCATATAGCAAAATACCAGCACGAGATTGCTCAGCTAGAAGCTTCTTTTCTTTGAATTTTCATCTGTAGGAGTTACAAGGAGGATGAAAATGAGCACTTCATGTGTTGGACGTGTTTGTTGTGACCCACAGAGAGTTGTTATTATTATACAGGATTTATTAAGATCCACCAGTTTGCTCAGCGCTTCACAAATAAGAAATTCAAACATAATGGAAAATCTTTGTATGGTGGGGCTGGCTGGGCTATTTCCTGTGCAGGGAAAAGAAATGGACACTGTGATTGTATGGCACCTCGGCATCAGTAGATTGTAAGACATTCCCTTGTTCTGATTAGAAAGAGGACAAGAAGAAGCTTTAAGTAGACATCTACCTGCCTGTCTGTATGATACCGAGCTCGGTGTGCCCACTCCTTGTGTTATGGGTACAATAATAGGACAGGCACGCTATGGCTTTTGCTGCCTCTTAACAAAAAAACAAAAATAGGCTGAGCAGAGACATGAGAATATTTCAAGTGTCTGATTTAGAAGGTTTGACAGTTTACAGATTAGCAGCCTGTCCAATTTTAGAAACTTTACAAGGGATGAAACCGTTTTCCTAGTTTATATTTAGATTACGCTACAGCTATGGCATTTAAACCTATGGAAATGGTCTTGCTTAGACCAGAGTTACACTACATCTCCACTATTATATTTAAAGGAAATCTAAATTCACAGCATGTCCTCTCCTGTTACTACATCAGCATTGTAAATGGAATACATACTAGGCTTGTTTTTGATCATGCAATCAAAGCTTACTTGAAAGAAATCCCTTTTATGTAGTGAGTGCCGCCTTCCGTCTGCCCATCACTTCCATCAACTTCCTGGATTCCCAGTGTGCTTTGTGTCTCTTTCCCTGCTGCTTGATGTGATGTAATCTCCATTTCTGAAGACTACATATTCCATCATGCATTGCTTCCAGCAAGCAATAATAATGTTACATTGTTTAGAAGTTGAGTTGTAATTCAGAGGAAGTAAATATTCACAGGGCTGAGTGGAATTGTGTCTGTGCATTGTGGAAGTACATCCTATGAACTTCTTCAATAAGTAAGTTTACAAACTTCAAGATGGATATAGTTATTAGGATTGGGATAGAAATCAATTTCTTTCTAGTTTTTCACCATAGATACCCTTTAACTTGCAACTCCAGACAATTTTTTGTATTTTTTGCAGGTGAGAAAATTTAAGCTGTCATACACTGCAAGATTTTACCTACATGATAGAAAAATCACTTGATTCCCCCAGCTACGCTAAGGCCTCGTTCACACGAGATACAGTGCGTTCCAGCCCGATTCTGGCCAGAACGCACTGCATCGCGGCCGGCTCACTACGTTGTTGGGCAGGAGAGGGCGTGGCGGTCCATTGAAGCGCATTGCACCGTAGCCACGCCCTCCGGCCGCAGGGGAACACAAGTCACATTATGCCTCCGGTCTGGTCCGAACCAAATGCTGCAAGCACTATTTTGTTTGGAGCGGACCGCAGGCATAATGTGCCTTGCATTCCCGTGCGGCCGGAGGGCGTGGCTACGGTACAATGCGCTTCAATGGACCACCACGCCCCCTCCTGCCCCACAACATAGTGAGCCGGCCGCAATGCGATGCAGTACGTTCTGGCCAGAATCGGCCGGAACGCACTGTCTAGTGTGACTGAGGCCTGAGGAGTCTGCCCAGCTCTGCTATTGTATTGTGACAAACAGCGGCTGCAGTTGTCAGAATACTTGAACAGTGACTGCAGCTGATTCGCTGCAGTCACTGGTCGACTGACAATCTTCCACCCAACAATTTTCCCATTCAGTGGGAAACAACCAAAATTCGATCCATGTATGGACAGCTTTTGAACCTCCTTTGGGTGATGCCAGGATATGAAGGGAATGAGATAGGAAGATGCAGACACCAATGTAAACTTTACAAGGGGTGACACCTTTCCCCACACTACCAGAAAAATGTTTCTCCCTCATCCTTCACGTTGTCAGACCCTACTCCACTACAACTACAACTGAAGCTGGCCATATACTAGTGGATTTCCGAATGAACGTTCGTACGAAAGATCTTTCTTTACCACCCGGTAATGCCTTTTAGATACTTGACGAATGTTGATTGAAATTTCGTTTGATTTTAACATTCTTTTGTGGAATTTAATGGAGTTTCCTGAATGAAAACCACATTCACTGTTAGAATTTTGTTCATTCAAGAAACATTTTACATCCTGCTTCTCCGAGTTTTTTCATCACCACAGACGAAATCAATTGTCAATTTGACTCCATCAACGAATAGAAAGTTGAATGAAAGTTCTTTGGAAAATCTAAGCAGTGTATGACCAGCTCTAGTTTGGAGCTGGAGACTCATGTACTGCTTGTTGAGCAACAAAGGTTATTAACTTGTTTTTCATTTTTGTGTTGTGACATATCAGCCATTCTTTCTCCATCTTTACTGTGCTTTTGTAACAATACATTTCACAAGTGTGGGAATACTTACAAATCTGTCATCGATCTGTTTTCTTCTGCAGGAGAATCTGCATTCTTTCACCAGGGACGCACTTAAACTGATCAGCAAAGATCTGCCTTTTGAGTGTCTTGAAGTAGAAGAAAAAGTTGCCAGAGACATATTTCAGCACAATCCGTAAGTTCCTTCATCAGCTTATTATGACTCCATTGTAGCTTAGAATCTGGAGGTCCAGTAAAGCGTGATGAACTCAAAAACATAAAGCAGACATTCATTTGTGGTTATAAGTGGTGATGTGTTTCTTGTCACAGTCTCTGTAGATCAGGGAGTGCAGCTCTTATCTACTATGTAGATGAGGCCAGGTACTATATAGCTATTGCTAACAGCGAAAGGTTTTTCAGGTACAGCATTGCCTGTTTGTACTGGAAGCTGTGCAATGGATACTAACATGAAAATGCTGCAGAAGTATCGACTGTCGCCGTATTTTACTTAGTACAGATATGATCCTTGGCACGAGGCAGAGCTGTGTTGAGGTGGAAGAGAGTAAAAACAAAACGAGAGGGGCGCCTTTTCCTAGTGCAGATCAGTTTTATTCAACAATTGAAAGGAGGATGGATAAGTAAATAAGTACTCACAAAAGTGGGAATTCACAAGCATTTAGAACAGTGCAGAGTTTCCCTTTTTAACCAGAGTGGTGATGGGACTGGGGCTAAGTCCTGATGAAGGGGGCGTGCCCCGGAAACGCGTCGACACTCCTATATACCGATCTGCACGTAGGACGTATCTGACAGACTGCTACTGTTATCATTCCGGTTCGGTCTCTGCACTGTTCTAAATGCTTGTGAATTCCCTCTTGTGTGAGTACTTACTGGGTCAAGCTTTAGTGCTCATGTACACGGGTGTTGTTTTCTTGCATTTGATGTTCATTTAAAATGCACATTAGACCAATTGACTTCAATGGAGAAGTTTAGATGACAGCACGGAGACTGTGTTTGACCTGCTTTGCATTGCATCTCTTCTGATGTAGAATGTCCTATTTAAGTGCGTTTGAAATGCAGACAAGACAGGTCACAAAGCCTTTTCTTGTCAATTGCTGCGTACTGCATTTTAACTAATTTTGGGTTTGAATGGAACAGACTACTTTTGACAAGATCATAATGACCCCTTCACGACCCCTATACGACCCCTTCATGAGTTATGATCTGCCAGCAATTTACACTGCACAATTAATTTATTTTAATTAAGAGAAATACCGTTTAGCCTAATTATAAATATCTCCAGAGGTTTTTGTGGCACTGGTTGGTAGGCTAGGCTGTGAGAAGGAAATTGCACAGACATTGTAGCATGTGCCAACTTTAGAAAAGTCGGATATGGTATCTCCTGTATACTTATAAAGTATGATCCAGCAAAGTAACATGTAGGATTCTGACCATTCTGTTGCCTTGTAAATAATAGATTTTCCATCATGCTTTTGCTGAAGCCCACCTTCCACAACCAATGGTACTCACCTTCCCCACCCATTGGTACTCACCTTCCCCACCCATTGGTACTCACCTTCCCCACCCATTGGTACTCACCTTCCCCACCCACCTTCCCAACCCACTGATACCCACCTTCCCCACCTACTGATACCCCCCTTCTCTACCTACTGATACCCCCATTCTCTACCTACTGATACTCCCCTTCCCCACCTACTGATACTCCCCTTCCCCACCTACTGATACTCCCCTTCCCCACCTACTGATACTCCCCTTCCCCACCTACTGATACTCCCCTTCCCCACCTACTAACCAATGGTACTCACCTTCCCCACCCATTGGTCCTCACCTTCCCCACCCATTGGTACTCACCTTCCCCACCCATTGGTACTCACCTTCCCCACCCACCTTCCCAACCCACTGATACCCACCTTCCCCACCTACTGATACCCCCCTTCTCTACCTACTGATACCCCCATTCTCTACCTACTGATACTCCCCTTCCCCACCTACTGATACTCCCCTTCCCCACCTACTGATACTCCCCTTCCCCACCTACTGATACTCCCCTTCCCCACCTACTGATACTCCCCTTCCCCACCTACTGATACTCCCCTTCCCCACCTACTGATACTCCCCTTCCCCACCTACTGATACTCCCCTTCCCCACCTACTGATACTCCCCTTCCCCACCTACTGATACTCCCCTTCCCCACCTACTGATACTCCCCTTCCCCACCTACTGATACTCCCCTTCCCCACCTACTGATACTCCCCTTCCCCACCTACTGATACTCCCCTTCCCCACCTACTGATACTCCCCTTCCCCACCTACTGATACCCCCCTTCCCCACCTACTGATACCAACCTTCCCCACCTACTGATACTCCCCTTCCCCACCTACTGATACTCCCCTTCCCCACCCACTGGTACTCCCCTTCCCCACCCACTGGTACTCCCCTTCCTTACCCGCCCTCACCTACTGAAACCCACCTTCCCACCCACTGGTACCCTACCTTCCTGAACCGCTAATACTCACCTTCTCATCCCTTTATCTGTGGGAGCAAATATCTTGTATTTCCAGGTATGGGTGAGAATATGACCTTCTCACCTTCCTTCCAAGATACAGTTCACAGGATTGAGCAGCCAATCACCAGGTCCCAACACTATCATGTGACGGAGGGTTGAAGATCAATAACCCCTGGGAGTGGTGGGGAACTTTTAAGAGAACCTGGACAAAATGACAGATTACCTTTTTAAGTTTGGTCTTTTGGAGACAGTTGTACAGTCACAGTACAAGATTACCTCAATGTACCCCGTTATGTCGATAAAGCCATAGAATTGTGGGCGCGATGGACCTTTTATGACACTACACAAATGGATAGAACACAAAAGTGACATTTCTGTTTGCACGGGAAATCCCCATCATTTTTTGATATTAAAATGTTTGACACATATAAAGTATTTTTTTTATTCTGTCTTATGAACACATATAAAAATAATTTCCTTTCAGGCACTTAAGTGAATGTGTGGGCACTGTAGCCTGTTCTGATAGATAAGCGTATATTTTACTTTTCACATGAAATATTTATTTTTCTCTTTGGCTGCATTCTCTGTGGCCTGGTTCAGATTTGCCTGGATCCTCCTGCGTGCCACCCTTTGTTAGGATAAAACCGTAGTGACACCGCGGCTCGGAAGGCGGCAGCTGTCGGAAGCCACAAATGCTGTAGGCAGATACACCAGCTTTGTCTCTGAAAATAAACCGTAGGAGAGCAAGCTTGTATTCCCGTACAGCTTGTCACAAGTTATGAATCATTGGGATAATCTAGATGAAATCTATCCGCTTTGCTTTCTGGCTTTATAACGATCACCTTCACTGCAGGAATGTTTTGCTTCTCTATAGGGGCTGATCTACAGAGGCTGATACAAAACTCAAGTGGTTACCTCCTAACCCCTTATTAGATTCCCACCTTCATCTGGGTAACTGCTCCATTTTTATTCCAGTACCTGTAAATCAGAGACTCTGAAGTATTTTGTTGCCCAGCTTCAGGTCAAACTGTTCCTTTCCAGGTTTTCAGTTCATTGAAGGGAGAATCTGCTTGCTAGGGGCAACACAGGAAGCTTTTTACACAATGATAGATAGGGGCAAATATATTTCTGTTAGGTGCTTTATTTCTTTTTTTAATCCTATGTTTAAGCATAAAAATAATCTTATTCCCTATATGCAAACTATATAAGCACTGTTTTGTTGTATTGTCATGAGATATGAAACCAAATTTAGGTTCAAATATTTTAGACCCTGTTCACATCTGTGCGCTGCAGCAACATGTGCAAAGACATGCTTTTTCACAGCGTAACAAAATGTCTATGACTTTCTAAGACACTCTGGTGCCATTCATTTTTAATGCACTCCAACGCACCTTGCTACACCATGCTCTTTCATCGGATGGAGGAGCGGGGCGTCGGGTGGGGAGAGAAGGAGCGGGGCGTCGGGTGGGGAGAGAAGGAGCGGGGCGTCGGGTGGGGAGAGAAGGAGCGGGGCGTCGGGTGGGGAGAGAAGGAGCGGGGCGTTGGAGGAGAAGCAATGGAGCGGTGTATTGGACGGGGAGAGAAGGAACCGAGTATCCGAATGGGGTGGTTTTGTAGGAGGTAACAGGTAAGTGCAGGAGGGTCTGGTAGGTTGCACATGAAGACATGTAGAGGTTGGAGGCAAGAGGTGGTAAAAGTTTTTGTTTACTGTGCCAGGAGTTCACCTTTAAGTTACCTGCCTTTTAGCTTACATAGAGTATATTGGAACAAAGTGTGGAGTCCCTGTAGGCACACATACATTTATATATACAGGCTGACAACCTGAGAAAACACCTGTTTTAGTGTAAGTGTAAGTGTAGTGTAACACTCGTACACCCTGTAACGTGTGCAGAGGTGCTAATTAGCAACTAATTATCAGAGCATTTTCTTGCATTTTTAGTGGCAAACCTACAATGAATTCCCCCTAAACACAGCTGATTAAGCACTAGTTAAAATGCAGATGGATATTAATGACAGCAAATAAAAGGAACACATTCCCACAAACAGCTCCTTTTCTCTTAATACTGACCATGTGGGCAGTGAATCTCGACACTTCTCCAGAATCCGGCAGATGTAAACAGCTGCTAAGATTATTTCTGCTTCAAATCTTTAATCTTGTAAGCACAAAACATTATAGCGGGGGGGCCAGCTGGAAAAACAGGAGCATCCGAGCAGATGTTATATTTTATATTAGCTTACGGCATGTGTTACCTTTTATCTGCTAATGTTCCTTTGTAAAGAAATGTAGCTGTATAGTTCATAATCAAAGAGAAACACATTAAAAGGGTTGTACAGGCAAAATATGAAAATGTTCTCAACGGATTACTAAAGTGTAAAGGGTAAATTCACTTTTATTAGAAAACAACAACAAAAAAAGCTTTTATGGCTTACTTCCCATCCACCCTTCTGTTAATATTTTTAGTCGACAACTTAGCACAGTGTTTAAAGCTGAACTCCATGCAAACTGCTACATACAAAGATGAAATGCATGTATGGTAGCTGTTTGCTTGCCAAATGATTTGCATGTTTTTCCATTCATTCCTGAGATTTACACAGCTCTGCCAAGTAGATGACCGCACTTACAGTTAAGAAATACGCTGGTGCCTCCTTTCTACCTTAGCCGTATTGACTGGGCAGCAGAAGAGCAGCAGCAGCAGATCGATGAGGTGCTCCCTCTGCTCTATCCTCCTATCGGCATGTTCCTTGATGATATATTCATGCAGCACACCTGGTTAGCTTCCAGTCCTGCCACCCCTATCTTAAGCTGGCCATACACTGTACAAAATCATGTACAATCAGATTGTATAATCTTCTTTGAATTTACCAAAACTATGTAATGAGGACAAACCTCCGCAATCCATTCAGTTCGTATCAAATCATGAAATCATGCAGGCTCTTGCGCTATGCAGTTGATGGTAGATCTACAGGAGATTGTACAATCAGGTTATGTAATGTATGGTCAGCTTTAGTCTGTGATCTTCTGTATAGGGGATCGCAAGAGTCTGATTCCAAGTCAAATGTAGGTACTTACCCTAAGGGCCCACTAATACTATTGCATTCTGGTAACGCAAGCTTTACCATGCCACATGTTGCTTGAGTTGATGTGATGTGGTGCCATTTTTTCTGAATGGAACCCCAACACATCTTGCCAGTACTGCATTGCAGCACAATGTGTGGCAACGCACTAACCTACCCCAAACACACAAAAGATTGTACTGCTCCTCCACAGCACACACGCAGGGGGAATCCCAGTGCTCACCAGCTGGATCTCGTCCTCACTCCCACCTTAGCTTCCGTCAAAACAACAAAACCTCCGGCTGCACTGATATGTCCCTGGAAACTTCTTTTATTAAAGATCACACAGCTACACAAAGGCCCGCCTCAGGTCCGCCCCGCTAACGCATTTCACCTAATCCTGGGCTTAATCATAAAGTTCACTCAGTTTAAGCCCGGGGGGGGGGGGGGGAGGCGGGGGGGGGCGAGGCGAGTGTGAGCAGTGGAGTGGCTTGCCCTTCTGCACCTGTGTTTGTGGAGACACACCCAGCTTACTAGCACAGAAGGATGGCTCCATAGGACACTGCGAGGGAAAGGAGCCACCCTTAAATAGGATAATCTGGGTCAGTGCTCAGGGTACCAGCTGATTCTGCAGGAAGCTAAAACTTGTAAACATCAAGGAGCAGCATCCATTGTAAGTGATTTTATCAGCATTGAAATCGCTTAAAACCTTTTTATCTTTTAATATCAGTGTAAGTGCTCTAGCAATTCTCTAAAATAGCGTGTATCCAGACCTAAGCTATGAGACAAGGTTGCTAAATTTGGACATGTTCACGCTGGAAGTGAGGAGATTAAGGGGGGACATGATTTTTATGTACAAAATGTTTAGTGGTGATGACAGCATCAGCAATAAACTTTTTACAGTAAACTCCATAACAAGGACTAGAGGCCACCACCTAAAATTGGTGGAGAAAAGATTTAACCACAAGGGGCGGAGAGGCTTTTTTTCAGTGAGATCGGTTAATGTCTGGAACTCGCTGCCACAAGCAGCTGAGAGTATTGAATCATTCAATCATTCTCTTCCTCAGAGACCATAACATACGGGGGTACAGGTACTCTTAAAAACAAGGACGGAAAAGGGACTCGTGCATACAAATGCACGCACAATCACACACATACACACAAAGGTTGGACTTGATGGACCTATGTCTTTATTCAACCTCAAATACTATGTAACTATATTGCATTCTGTTACATGTATGAGGATAAATAAAACCTATGACATCACTTCCGATGAACAGAGGATCCGTGGAGGAAAAAAACTGTACAGACACGGATGTCACAGCAATGACATCACTTCCTATGCACAGAGGATCCGTGCATGGAACCCCTGCAGATCGGACCTGAAGGCACCCTTCTGAAAGGGGCCTTACACTTTGTTTGTCATTTATTCTTTTGTTTTTACCATTAGTGAGTCAGACAACAGTAAGTTAATGTTAAACATGCTCATGACAAATATAGGTCTATTAAAGAAATTAAAACAAAAAATGTCAATAAAAAAAGCAGCAGATTGTGTGGACCACTTGGTCTTTTATTGCTGTCACTCTTCTGTTTCTATTACAGCTGCCATAGAAAGTCCAGTCATTCCTCCTCACCTTTATTTAGGTTGTCTGATCTTCCCATGATCCCTTGTCATGTCCTTGGCTTCCTAGTATTGATTTGTGCTGTGACAGTGTGGGAGAATAATGTCTCTTCCTGTCACACATCATGTAGAAGTGCTGCCAAGGTGTTGTACACAGAGCTAGGAAGAATGCAATGGACCAGACCGGGCAGAAAAGAGACAGCATCACACCAGGAAGCTTTGTTGTTTTTTGCAGATTGTGGAACCATCATGATTAAACTTATACACTGAGGTCGAGGTTTATTTTAAGATTATGTTGGGTCTGTATTTACAGATTGTGTTTTCTTCTGTTGGCTCCCCTAAAAATGGCTAACATGGCCCATCCTAATCTGAGCTAGGTCTTTGGGACTTGTGTGCTGCCAAGAAAATGTGCCAATGCTAATAGCAACAAGCCAGTTACCAGGTGACATTTCTGCAGAGCAAAGTTGAAAGTGGAACATGGATTCTGATTGGTTACTGCAAGCAACAAGGGCATTGCCTGTTAGAACACAGTCTTTTGCCTGCATATTTTAGGTTTACAGCTGTACAATGTGCTAATGAGACATTTGCTTTTCCAGGTACAAACTGATGTGTCTGGAGGAGAAAGCCGCTAATCATCCTGAAGGAAAGGTAACCCTGCACAGGTCAGTAGTTATTTATTTATAGAAATATTCTTACAGTTGTTGATCGGGCACAGGCACTCATGTCTGAAATAGGGCATAATAGCCATCATTATAAGTGGTTTAGCAAAAATACATGTTCTTAACCCCTTCATGCCCACAATATGTGGATTGTTAACCTGTTTGATGCCCTGTGCCGAGGGTACATTTAATCTACATCCTCCTTTTGACAGCTAGCATATGACACTGTGTATGGCTGCTAGCTGTCAGTCTGGTCTGTCACAGGCTGCTGCTATACCCACTAATGATTAGTTGTGACTTAGCTATGACATGCAGACTAGAAGCTTTATATGAGCCTTCAGCTTGCAGATGCCACTGCAGCTTTGAAGATGTCAATGTGCATCACTGCATCTCTGTTCAGTACTGTAATTGTCAGATATTTATATTGTAATCGATCAGATCTTGAATGTGGAGCAAGCATCACTATTTGCGGTGCAGAGTTGCACTGAAGATGGAATGTTTATATCGGACGCTCTGTCCTTCATGTTTCCACAGCCACTGCACCTGTCACAAAGTGGTGACACTCCAAGGAGTTTTACTAGTGGGTGGGCGGAGTATGATGGGGAAGAGGAAGAACTAGTTCCCCATCCAGTCCGCTCCCCTGGTGTTTGACAGCAAGCAGTGGGCGGATGCCATAGCCAATAGACATCGTGCTATTGGCTACGGAATCCTCCCACTGTCTGTTGTCAATCACTAGCACAGCGCACCTGATGGGGAACTAGTCCCTTGCCTTTTCCATCAGGCTGCACCTACTGTCAGCCTCACTGGATGTTAAGGACGCTGTCTGCCATATTTGGGTAATGATATCAGCCAGCATCCCCAGCACCTGTATTTACATTCATCTGCTGGCTGTGGCATCTGGCTGGCAGCTGAATGTGCCATTGTGCAATTGGTTAATAAGATGGCAAGTGTCCTGGTAACTAATGGCATTATTAGGAACTACCTGAATCTGTCACAAGTATTGGTAA